ACCGTTTTACTTTCCCTTTCCAACCCCCCAAGGTCACACCCCCCCACCTCACTGCCACCGCGGGCGGCCCACTACCGTACGCTGTGAGAGCCCCGGGAGGACGCCCGCCCCGGAGGGAAAAAAAGGGGGAAGAAAGGAAGGGGGGAAGAGGAAATGTAATGGCAAAGGTAGATTGAAACATTTGTGTGGGGGTTTTTTTTTGTGGATTTCAATAAAAGAAAAATCAGATGGGGAACCCTTTGCTGACCTCAGTTTGTGTCATGCCCCTAAATGATTTTTTTGTTTGGGTTTTTCTGAATGATGAAAGATCGGGTCTTTTCATATACACACAAGCATGATGCAGAGTTTTTTAAGCAAAAAATATTTTCCTAACGGGTAGATGGGTGTGGGTTAAACCCTGCCTCGCATAAGAGTGGGGGAAACACTGCAGGGGCCCCAAACGGGCCTTTTTATTTGGCAAGCCCTTATAAAAAACCGCCCATGTATTTTTTCCAAAACCTTTTCTAAAACTACGAGGGAATTTTTGCTTCCCTGTCCCCCCAGACCCCAATAAAACCCAGCCCCCCCTCTCATGATTATCAATTTCTTTTTAAAACTCCCCAAAGGGGGTTTTGCTTCTATTACCCTCTCCGGGGGGTTTTTCCAACAGGTACAAGGGGTGGAGGGAGAGCAAACGTAGAGCCCAGTAGGGGAGGAAACGCCCCCAGCAGCACCCCTTTTAGGGGAAGGGGTTAAAAAGTATGGGGACCCCAGCCTAACCTTTACTCCTGCAGGGGGCCATCTTTAACCCCTCATACTCACTTCCCCTCACCTCCAACCGGGCCCCTCACCCCCCTCTCACTGGGTGAGTCCCCCCCTTCTCCTTAACCAAACCTCACCCCCCCGGCCCACCCCCCAAAAGGACCCCACCCACTACCCTTTTCAAAAAATACACTCGCAAAATTAAAAAAATAAAATGATACTGCTCTACTACTGTCACGAAAACAACAAAAACTACAAAAAAATATTCGGGGGGGCTTACAACTACTACTACAATACTACTCTCCCTACTACATTTTAAACTACTCCCAACTACAAAAAATTTAATAATAAAAAATTAAAAATTAATAAAATAACCCACCGTTTAAATTTTCCTGATATTAAAATTCACTCACCTCATGTATACATAAAAACTCGGAAAGGGTTTATATACATGATTTTATATCTCTGGGTTTGTTTTTTCTCTGAGATTCTTTTAAACCCTTTGTTTTAGAAAGAAAGAAATTCTTGTCTGGTTTGTACGGGTTTGAAAAGCACCCTTTAAATTGATTTTCTTTAAAATTGAGGGACAAAAAACCTAACGAGCAATAAAATCCCCTAGGTTTATTGTTTTTTAAACAAACCCCCAAAAATGTATACAGGGTTCCCCGATGTAAACACGTTCCCCTGATGTATAAAACGCCCCCTGATTTTTACACGTTCCCCTGATGTAACACTTTTCCCCTGATGTATACACTTTCCCCCCCTGTTGTATCCCACTTTTCCCAGGGTTGTATACACGTTCCCCTGATTTTTAAAACGTCCCCCTTAATTTTAAAACCACTTTCCCCCTGATTTATAAAACTTCCCCCTGATGAAACACACTGCCCAATGTTTGGGAACCCCTCACTAAATTGAGGTAAAACACACTAGTGAACCCTCGTGTTTTAATTTTTGATTTATTTGTGTATTTCTGGGGTATTGCTTCGTGGGGGTTCATTAATTAGGACACAGCAAAAAGGGGTATCCTGACCTGATCTTTGACATAAGGGCCCATTTTAAGTAAATTAATTTAAGTTTCGGGAAAACCATACCTTTGTTTTAAGATCCACGGGGTGTACCATTTAAAGGGTTTTGGCTCGGTCTACCAGTCCGTGTTTAAGCATCCCCTGGTCTACCATTTAAGGGTTTGCCGGGTTAAAACCAGTCCCAAATTTTAAACATCCATTTGGGTACCTTTTTAAGGTTTTGGCTCGGTCTACCGTACCGTTTAAATCCACGGGTTTTGTCCCAAAGTTAAGGTTGCTCTGGTTTTACCAAAACCGGGGTTAAAACACCCATTGGTGAAAAAAAGTTAAGGTTGCTCTGGCTACCAGTACCGTGTTAAGCTTCCATTGTTTTTTTACCATTTAAGGTTGCTCGGGTTACCAGAAACCGTTTTAAAAATCACTGGTGTACCATTTTTAAGGTTCCCGGGGGTTTCTCCCGTACCTTTGTTAACCCCCACTGGGTACCAGTTAAGGTTCCCTCTGGCCCTACCAGTCCCGGGTTTTTAAACTTCCCGGTTTTGTACCATTTAAAGGGTTTGGGCCTCTGGTCTACCATACCGTTTTTGGCATTTGGGTTTTCCATTTAAAGGTTGCTCTGGTCACCATTTACCGTGTTAAGCATTTCCTGGTCTACCATTTTAGGTTGTCTGGTCGACCAGTACCATTTTAAAAAACCCACGGGGGTACCTTTTAAGCTTGTTTTGGTTCCCAGTCCCGTGTCAAGCTTTCCACGGGTTTTTGGAAACCCATTTTAAGGGTTTTGCTCTGGTCTACCAGTCCCGTTTTTAAACATCCACTGGGTACCATTTAAATTGCCTGGTCTACCGGGACCGTTTTTAAAGCCCCAAAATTTGGTGTACCAGTTAAGGTTGCTCGGGGTTACCGTACCGTGTTAAAATCCACGGGTGTACCAGTTAAGGTTGCTTTGGTCTACCAGTCCCGTTTTAAAGCATCCATTTGGTGTACCATTTAAAGGTTTTTGCTCTGGTCTCCCGTACCGTTTTTTTAAACTCCACTGGAAAAACCGGGAAAGGGTTTGCCGGTCTACCAGAAACCGTTTTAAAAAACATCCCCGGGTGTCCCTTTTTAAGGGTTGCTTGGTTTTCCAAAACCGTTTTAAAAGCATCTCCGGGTCTACCTTTTAAAGGGGTTGCTTGGTTTTTCCCATACCGTTTTTAAACACCCCAAAGTCTACCAGTTAAGGTTGCTTGATTCCCCAACCGTTTAAAGCATCTCCTGGTCACCAGTTAAGGTTGCTCGGGCTACCAGTCCCAGTTAAGCATCCCCTTTGGTCTCCAGTTAAGGTTGCTCGGGGCCTACCATTAACCATGTTAAGCATCTCCGGTCTACCAGAAAAGGGGTTCCCTTTGGCTACCAGTACCTTTTAACATTCCTGGTCTACCAGTTAAGGTTGTTTGGGTTTTCCCAGTACCGTTTTTTTTAAAACATCCCCGGGTTCTAAAGTTAAAGGGTTTGCCTGGTCGACCATTCCCAATTTTTAAACATCTCCTGGCTACCATTTTAAGGGTTCTCGGGGTCTACCGTACCGTTTTTAAACCCATCCCGGTCTACCAGTACCGGTTAAACATCTCCGGTTTTCCCCCCTGTTTTTTTCTTTTAAATGAAAGGGGAAAAGCTTAATACCCCCCTTTTTCTTATGAAAATTTATTTTTTTAGGGGGTCAGAAAAGGCCGGGGGAAAGGGCTGATCAAATAACCAAAAGTTTCTATTGAAACGAGAGTTTGTTAGGCATGAAAGGATATACAAACCCTCGCTTTACAGCGCTTAACATTACGGTGTTTGGGCTAATGCAGTGGTATCATTATCCCCATTTTTCATTTTTTTTCGGGACTTTTTCGGGGCCATAAATTTAAATTAGTAAAATACAGGGGAAAATGGGGGAAGATCAGGGGGGAATTTGGGAGGAAAACAACCCTCACCGGGAGTCGATATTAGTCCATCCCTTGATAAATGATCAGCTTTAAAGGGGGATGATCAAATCAACCCCCAAGCTCGGGACGGGATTCCCCTCAAACCCCTTCTGTCTTCAAAATTTTTCCTCTGTTTTCCCTTCGAACCCCATAAAATCAAAACCAGTGATAATAATTTTTTTTTTTTTTTCCCCCCTTCTTCTTCCACCCACCTTTCTCTTTTAATCTCCCCTTCTTTCTTTCCATCAATATTCCCTCTCACTGCTTTCCCCTCCCCTCCATTAAACCCCTTTTTTTTCCCTCTTTCTCCCCTTTCCCTTATCCTCCTCCCTTTGTCCTCTTTTTTTTTCCTCCTGCCATCTTCTTCCAAAAACCTACCCTTCGTCTTTTTTACCCCTGCCATTTCCCAAACACCTCCCATTTTTTCCTAACCTCCCATTTTTCCTAAAAACCTACCATTTTCCTACACCTGCCATCTTTTTCCCTTACACCTCCATCTTTTTTCCTACACCTCCCAAACTTCTTCCTACACCAACCATTTTCCCTTCCCTTTCCACCTTTCCATCTTTTTCCCTTTACACCTCCTCTTCTTCCTACACCACCATCTTCCTACACCTCCCACTTTTTTTTTCTTCTTCCTCACCCCCCCCCCCCCCCCCCATCTTTTTCCCCAAAAACCTACCATTTTTTCCTACCCCTGCCATCTTTTTCCCTTTTACCCCCTACCCCTTCCTACCCCT